TGATTAGGGCATTCCAGGCATCGTTGAATTCAGTTTTTGAAGTTTAATAACTAACTTTTGTCGTTAACGTTTTCGTTGCGTAACGCGTTACGACCGATGATCACGTATTTTTATTAGAGCATCTTGAAACAACAGTTTGTAGCCCTATAAATGTTTGTATACCTGCAGTGTCACAAACCTATTATTTTCGACTTATGTACGTTGGCAATTTTCTATCGCGACGTCATCCGTCATAGACGTATAATTATTATTTATCCATTAGCTTGATTTCCTTGAAATATGACCTGTCGTGATCTTCTATAAAATGAATCTCTTTATTTATTTATGGCTATCGATATGTTCCGATACATTTGACGAATGTCCTATTTTATATCTGTTACATATACCGACATAATCTTTTTGACAATTGTACCTACTTATTATTGGTTTTGTTTTTTCGGGCAAAATAAGATGTTAGTCAGATCATCTCCCATTATTATCCGTATTTTTGCGTGCGTGTCTCTCGAAGTAATTTTATCTTTCCCTAAGTTTCGGCTCTTGGGTTTCAGTTGAGTCACATAGGCGGACGTTTTATTATAATATAATGCCCTATTTTGTTATTTTTGAAAACTTTAGTTCTCTTCTATTCTTTGTGGCCAGCATGAACAATATCTTAAAATTTATTTTTTATTACTTTTTTTACGGCCTCCATGATCAAAATGTTCAAATTTATTTTTTGAGTAGTTTTTCTTTGACCAGAAAGTATAAATAAAATATTCAATAGCCATCTAAGTAAAATGTTTAAAATTTAAAATATAAGTATATTATGTACTAGAATACATAGCTTTTGAATATTTTTGTTAAGAATAAAGCCGTCATGGGACTGGTTTAAATCCAGTAAAACTATGTTCTTTACTGCGGTTTACCTGAAATAAGGACATAATAGTGTTCAAACGCCTCGGGAGGTGATTCTATCATCTCTGCGGAGTCCGTGATTGCTTCGTAAGATGTCTAACAGTACACAGCGAAAATTGAACGTCCGAAACGAGTCAATGAACCGAAACCTGACCGTTAGAACGAACCGAATCTAGCAGGGAGAGCCCTTCTATACCTCCCACTACTATTATGGCATCGTTTTTTACGTAAAATCTCAAATAAAAAGTATTTTTTGGAAAGCGTTTATTTCTTTTTAAATTAAGCCAAGTTTTATTGCGATTAAATGTCTATTAGTAATGTATTTTTTGCGTAACTTGGTTTGTTATTAACGACGTAAATTCCTGCGTTTGTCATTAAATAATGGTATGTATTTTGTAATGCTTATAATAATTAATGATCCTTAATATTCAATTATTTAAAAGACGTATAATGTTTTCACATACATATATGTATTATGTGATAGGTTTTCATGTCCAAATAATATTTCTTAACATAAATAAAATCGCAACGTATCAACGTGTAAATGTAAATCTTACTTATTATGAATTTAATATATATTGTATTCAATTCTTTGTTATGATCTTAATTATATTATATAATAATTATTGTTGAATTCATTAATCAAATTTACTGCATACCGGCCCACATAGCACGATTCTGCGTTGTAACAATAAGTACGCATTGATGACACAAGCATAGACTATAGATACAAACATAGACTATAGATACAATCTGCCATCCCGTGATGAGTGCCAACGGATCTATGTTAGAAAGCTGAAGGATTTCTTTTTGTTCACAGCTCTTACCTCTTGCGCAGTTTTAACAGTTAATGCCGACCGTTCGCCGCTCCGTTACCGAGAATCTGCTTATTCATTGAACTCTCGAAGCACCCAAACTTTGATTATTATCTATGGTATATGCTTAGTAAAACATGGCGTGACGATTTTACATCAAACGTTATTATAGATATGATGTATTTGAAAATTAGTTTTACAAAATTAATTATCTTATTTCAATATTTATGTGAAGATTTGTTTGAGTATTCAAGTAGTGGGATAATCGAAATTATAGAATACATTAAATTTTACTATTACAATTGTACATATAATTATAATTATTATATTCGACGCTATAAGACAATAGAAGTTTAAATGCATTGACCAGCCCTATAATAGAATGTAATTAAAATAGAGTGCTGTTGACCTATTTTAGCTTAAGATATTTAGGATCACACAGACTGAAACCAAAATACGAATTTAAACTTAATGGATTTTCTATCTGCGGACAGTGTTTGTCACCCGAACATAACTTTGATATTCAATTCCATCTATTATATTTTTAAATGTTCCAGACGGCGATTTATAAAAAAAAATTAAACTATTCGCGAGTGGAACACATATAAATAAAACACTTTTAACGGTTTTAATCGCGAAATATATAAGTTAACCTATTAATAATTTAATTTAACAGTGGTTCGACATTTTGAATGCTCTTCGGGCCCATGACTACGGCTGCTGCAAAGAAATTAACTAACATATTTCGCGTTTTAAACCGTTACATTTTATTTTAAAATCGATACGAAAATATCGAACTCACGATTCGTTTGATATTAAGAAACATTGCTATCATTGTACCCGTCATTAAGCTATATATACAAATATACCGTTTACCTATTTTATAAGGTTTAATATTGATAGATACACCTACAAACCTATATAATAGGGCATGTAGTGAACTTAATCGCGTGACCTAGAATTTTTCAGGATTTCAGGGCATGTTTGTTATTAACGGGAAAGTGTGTTGGCAAGCTTTTATGCACCGACTGCGGCTGAAAACTAGGTCAGCTCTATGTAAGGACTTCAGCTTACAGTGACACTATGACCTGGGTCAGGTCAGCGCTGAATATATACAGTATACATCTCATGATCGATATTAACATCATTTCTTTAAACCTGTAACCATTAATTGAGTTTATACAGTTGTTATTGAACAGATTATATTTAATCTTTTATAGGATAATTATGACAATTGACAATAGGGATGTGTTTAGTATGTTTTGAATGTGGTCGATTGTTGATTAATTATTATTTTATAGAAGTAGTAATCGATAATTCATATAACATTTAATATAAAACACGGAAATTGTTATTAGTATTATTTAATTGCGCAATATTGAAATGAATTAACATTTTACAACATCTTAGGTATCATTATTTATTATTTAATAAAGTTTTGAGTACATTTTATTTTTGTGTCAATGTTGTGCGTAAAATATATTACTTAAACTAAAAAAAACTTTATAGGTGTGAACTATAAATTTACATCATCCTATTTCAGGCGAATTATAATTGAGTTTATACAAAAAGTTATCACTCAATGGTAGACAAACTTAGTTTACAGATGACGTGAAACATTCGAGATTGTGATCTTTTATGATTTATTAATACAATTTTAGAATACAAACTTCGTTGTTATCTGTGATATCATCTGTAATTATTAAACAAATATTTTGTATGTATGCGTGCTATATATGGAGGTAGTATTAAATAAGTTTTTCTCGTATAATATACAATGTAGGTAGGCAGGAACTATTTAAATCGACGAATGGAGATTAAAAAAATGAGATAAAGGCGACAACCGAAAATTGATCATCTTGCATCATTGCCTAAACGACAGAGGAGAGGTTTGATAACGGCACTACTTATCAAAAACTCTCAATCGATTCGTTTTCTATACTTTCGTTCTATGATTTATACCATTCATACTTTGTGGGATTACAGAAATCCTATAATATGTACACGTAGAATAAATAGGTTCGTATTATATTATTTTAAAATAATGCAATTGTATTTAAATAAGTTACCAGGCAGATCGCAATCATTAATAATTCTATATCTCTGCGTCTGATGATTGAATGATGAAACAGTATTGAGTGCTGACTGAGTAATTATCAACCCCGAATCAATGTATCGACAATAGTTCTTCCTTCTTATATTGGATTTTAAATTGCTTGGTCTGAAATTGGTGAATAAACAAATGGATTTCAGTAATTATCTGTGGTAATTGATTTTTTGATTTCTTGTTATTTAAATAATCGATTTTATCAGCGGGTGCCCACCTGTTTATATCTTGCATCCCCCAGCAAGATGTGAGTTAGCTCCTCCAGGATTTACGAATGATGAGCGTTTTTCTCGAATCACTCGTGAAACTTTCTAACCCTGTGTGGTAGTGAAGCGGCAGGGAGGGGCGAGCGCGGGTGCCAGAGAGAGGGTACCGACCTCATTGCCCATTGCCACTCCTCCCGCCGAGGCGGCAGGCCATTTTTATTAAAAACACTTCCGAGTTAGGTACATACGCGCGTGCGACTTTTTTCGGATGCGATCCTTAAATCCTGAACTTTTTTCTGCATTCGAAAAGTAAAATTCGGCGCGAGAACAGAGTGGACAATAAGATATTAATTTAATTTTCGAACTACCTCTTTTATTTTAACATATATTGTGTAAAGTGCGTTTTAATTGAATAAGTGCGTCCCGCGGTCTATTTTCCGTTCGGTGTTCGTATAGTTGTGAAAAGTGGTGAAGTTCGGTCATCTCCGGCTGTGGTCGCCGCGAGGAAGGCGTTTAATCCACCCCGTTCGAGAGGAACAGAGATAGAAAACCCTGCTGACATGGCGACAGTGCAAATGGATTAATGTTTTTCACGTGGAAAACTCATCCCTCGCACAAACATATAGGTAGGTATAGTACTTACTGTACACGTACTTGCGAATACGTACGTACGAAGCAATTCCAATGTCAACTCGTTATTAGGTTGTTTCAATTTGATGTACGGGTAGATTATAAAATGTATTTATTTTGCTCTTATTGTATAATCTTTTATAATTGTTGAAAGTTTGAATGAGTTGAATAAAGTAGATTTGTTATGATTTACATAATTTAATTACTATATAGAATTAATAAAAATACACGTGCATCAAATCTATGGTTCAATTAGGATTCGCCTTGGGCTCCTAGCTAGAGAGATCATGCATAACGCATTAGACACCCCAAATAGATCGCGCCAAACCGTTGATTAGTGGAACGCGAATGGCACTGATGTACCGCGAGAGGGAATCAATAGATTTCAATAAATCAATATTTTACCGTGCACCCTGCGCTGAATATATCCGCCGCCATTCCGATGATGACGACGTATTTTTTTGTAAGAGATATTCGAGCCGCGGCGCGAGTCGCCGCTCGCTGCGCGGGGTTGCGACCGTCAGTCGTCGGGTGAGCGGGGTGCGCAGTAAACGCGGACTCGGGCTATGGCGGAAGGGCTGAACCTCATTCCCATAAAAGGGTCGAGTTGATGTGTTGTGCAGATACGTGTGGTACGTTCACAGTTTTGTGCAGTGATTTAATTATTCTCGAATCGTTCTTATCGTGCCGTATCAGCTTTTAATGGATACCGTAGGTAATAATACCATTGTGATGACGTAATGTAACGCGCTCGACTGGGTGCGTAGTAATAATTCGCTCGCCCGTCTATACCGCGATAACGTTTTGTGGTCAACACCTGAGGATGGAAACTGAATCATGATCTCGAATTATTCTTAAGTAATCCGTGTAATTCTGATAGGATTCTAATAAGAATTGCGTTATGGTTTTATTGGTAGCTTTATAGTGATTCGATTTTGATTAGATTTCTATTATTGCGGTTATCCTTAAATTAGAATGATATATGAACTTAGTGAATGCACGTTTTCCTACTGCAGTGCGCTGCCTACACAGCGTTCTGTCTCCGTTGCACGGACTCTCCTTCCGCCGCCGCTAGGGGCGCCCTCGATTTTTAACCTTGATTTAAATCTATGAGCTCTAGCCTCTGCGCTCTGAAGGGATACAATATTTTCCTAGTGTTTCAACTTCGTACATAACAGATTAGCAATCGTTTACTTTTACATAATTAATTTTGTAATTACCCAGATTTACAGGTCAATTACTTGTTAAATGTAATTAACTTGTAATAATTGTCATTACTAATTATTCATTATAGTTTTACTATATGCGTCATCGTCGGTTGTATTTCTCCGTTTATCTTACGAGATGTATACGTGAGTTAGGACATATACCGACGTTTTAGCGGGAATTTTTTCGAAATACAATCTCGTAAGATCTTTAAAGTAGCTTGATTAGTTTTAAGCATTATGAATTGATCTTCTTCTACTTTAAATGTTAACGCCATTTTTATTAAAGACAATTAATCGAATCTTAAGTTGGTTAATAAACATATTTTAACGGTTATATTATTTTCATCTTTTCCAGGTACCCTCGCCCCCGTCAGACACAAAAGCATTATGAGAAAAATAAAAATGGTTTTTATGTAAACATTACCCATTGTTAAAGTTTTGTCGTACGACCCACGGAACAAGAGAGAATACTTATGTATACACTGAAATATTTACATATATATAGCTCTTAAGCCTGAGTGGCATTTATTATATCTTCCAAAGAACTAAAACTGAGTAATAATGGCCACGCAAAGATTTTGCCTCCGGTGGAACAACCACCAGTCGAATATGCTGTCGGTATTTGATCAACTTCTGCACGCAGAGACGTTCACAGACGTGACATTAGCCGTAGACGGCCAGTTGCTTAAAGCACACAAAATGGTACTATCGGCTTGCAGCCCTTACTTCCAGGCCCTCTTCGTCAATCATCAAGAGAAACATCCCATTGTTATACTAAAAGATGTTCCTTACTCGGACATGAAAAGCTTGTTGGACTTTATGTACAGAGGAGAAGTGAGTGTTGACCAAGAAAGGCTGACAGCCTTTTTAAAAGTGGCCGAAAGTCTAAGGATAAAGGGCCTCACAGAAGTGAACGAGGAGAAATGCGATATACCTGCCCTTACGAACTCGTTGATACAACAACAAACAAACACGTCTGCGCACACACCTCCGCCGCAGTTGCATAGAATACACCCATACATGCACCAAAAAAGGCCAGCCTCTGGAATTCCGAGTGGCGGGGCTCCGCCAAATCTGCTCATGCCATTATTAGGCAACGCCTTGATGCAGCCGAAACGGAAAAGGGGTCGGCCTCGGAAGCTCAGCGGGAGTTCAAGTGACGCTCTGACTACAGCCGCGAGCCCTCCCGGAGAATTTATTCCAGAGTCTGCGTCCCATTCGTCGAACAGAGCTGGGGATCAGTTGATCAGGGGTTCGCCCGAGATGTTGGAAGTGAAAATGTCGATGGATGGATTCAATCAAGAGGATGGCGCAACATCCGGCGGCGAAGAAGGCGGGGAAGCGCTCATGATCGACGAAGGTGAAGACGCCCAATCAAACGAAGCTCCCAATTCAGGAAAGGACTCCGAGTCGGCAGGTACGTACCCACATAAACACATGGCCCGGTGACTGATAAAAATACTATTGCTCCTTCAAATAGAATTTAAGATTTTGTATTAGGTTTTTGCGAGTTTACTTTTTTCCTAGGGCGATTTCGTACGAACAATTCCCGGAATAAAAATCAACATACAAAGATCTTAATCGAACGGCTTGTCTTTTGTACATAAATATTAATCTTCCCTTCATTTACCTAACACTGCTAAAAGTTGTACACATAGAATTATAATGCAAATAGAATCCAATGTCATTCTATAAAGAAAAGCTAATGGGATATAAGCTTTGATGTTAAGAATCTATTCTATAAGTGAAAAAAGTGAAGTGATTATCGATTATAATATTTAATTTATTTTTCTGAATGGGGTAAGTGACAATCTATGAAATTGTTATTATCAAAAATTAAATGCTTATTTCTTCCATAAAAGAATGAATTCTTTTGCTTGCTTTTCTGCTTTCGGGGAGAGCTATTAGAGGAATGGCCAGGGGCATTTTCGGTATGGTACATTGGAGTAACATTATTTCATTCTTATAACTTCCATAATAAAATATAAAATGTAACGTAAAGTCAAGGGTTAAACAAAACAAGGCTTATTCCCAATAGCTTTCCTTCATTTGAGGCAATTCGGAAATATTTTAATGCCACTTTAATGTAACTCATCTGCAATAGAATGTTTCCTAATGCAAACTCAAATCCAATATACATCCATTTTGCAAAAATAATTAAGAATTTCTGTGAGCAGTACATTAGAATCAATTAAATTATTTCAGATACCGCAAAAGTACCAAAAGAGGAATCACAACCAAATTTTTCGTCTAACGGTCCGGTGCTCTCTATCGAGAATGGATCTATTAAACAGGAAGCTACCGAAAGCACAGATGAATACAACGAACCAATAGAATACAAATATAATCCAGACAGGAGCCGTGAAAACTCCAATTCGCAGGATGGCCCACTGAAAGAGGCAGACGATAAAAACAGACTAGGTCGTAACTTAAAGCCAAAGAATAGTAAAAAAATACTTCCCCAAATGTCAAAATTTAGAGCTCGAACACTATTCAATCAGTTGTCAGGGTTGTCAAACTTGAACCCAGCCCTTAATACCTTCGATAAGTTTCCACCCGAAACTGTCCTTATGCCAGCTCTTGCCACTCAGCTCTTTGCCGCTGAACTAGAACAAAATAATCTCAACATGGCTAACAACGATGTGACTGACTTATCTCAAACTAACTGGGAACATCGCATTTTCCCTTCGCCCATTAGAAAAAATAATATAGGAAATGTTGGCAACTATCACGAGGAAACTAACGAGTCAGTCAGGGACTATTGCATCAAGGAAGGCGAAAACGTCTTTCGATGTAAAATTTGCGCGCGAGTGTACACTCATATTAGCAATTTCTGTCGACATTATGTCACTTCCCATAAGAAAGACGTCAAAGTGTTCCCCTGCCCCATTTGCTTTAAAGAGTTCACCCGAAAGGACAACATGATCGCACACTTGAAGATTATACATAAGAACCAACCGAATTCCAACGAACAAACTGCTAAGCAGGAATCTTAATGATATTAATTTTTAATACAAATTATACTCACGTTAATTACATTAAAAGATCTGATTATGAAGAAGTTGAGACAAAGTATTGTCATAGATTGAACGAGTAGTCCGTAGTTTCTACAGGAATAGTTCGAGCTCTAAGTTTCCTTCTATCAATAAGTTTGTTGACATTTTGAACGAGTTCGTTCGTTTGTTGTTATATTTATCTATTTATTTACGTTATTCCATTTTTCTTAGAGTGCTGAACTTCAAAGAGATTTATGACAAAATATTCTATAATTTACTTGTTATTTTGCACTCACTTGTTACTTAATTTTATTACTTACAAAAATTTCAGGGTACAAAGTAACTACTCACGGTGATCGTTAATTCAAAGTAGTCTATTCGATTACTCGCAATTCTCATTGAACTGAATTAGTTAGTATATTAGATTAGATATTATTTTATTATACCAACGGCAGAGCCTTTTTGTAAAAATAAGTAAACATAAGCGGAATATTTAAAAGTAACACTAGAGAGGCTATACAAAAAGGCTAATACGGTCCTTGATAAGTAGTGGTGTGAAATGCATTTTCATTTAACTTGCCTTGTAGTGATCTTAGTTATAATAGAGTATTTTAGAACTTCTCCGAAGTTATAACTCAATATGGGCTATGATTTTTTGTCTAGGTTTGTTAAGAATAATTTTAAAATAGTCGTTTTAAGAAGTAAAATCGTTTGGTTGTATTCGCAATTGACTTTAACGGTAACAATTATTCTCGCATTGCGACCACTTAGTTAAAATAGTAACAATCTTAGGTAATCTCATTTAAAGACGATCGAACAGTTCCTTATATGTTGCAGCTAGTAATATAATTTACTTCTTACCCACTATTTCCTTAAGGCCCTTAGAAGCGCATCTAGGTATTTTCCTCTTGGTTTATAGAGTATATATTAAAGACAATACCTATCATAAAATATCTTAAGTAGAAAATTATTACCTACCTACCTATATTTACAGTACATAGTAATCGAACCGCAAAATTTGAGAGAAGCGGTTATTTATATATGTGTAACTCACGAGAAATAACAAAAATAATATAAGTACTTGTTAACTTGTAACAACGCATGTTGTGAAAGTGATTTACGCGAGGTGCTTTGGAAATGATTAAGGAACCATGAGATGATTATAAAAGAAAATTCTGTATTTAGATGTTGAAATGCCTTATAAATTAAGATATTGTACTTATTGTTTAATGTGCGTTGCGCATGAGTCCCTATCGTTGAACGTCGAATCGTCGGTGACATTTGTCATTTGAAAGATTAACAAGCAAATTGGCGTACGTTAGAGAATCATGCTAGGGCCCTTTAAATGTAGTCTTCCATGCGATAGAGACAGCAATTCAGTTCAATTAATTGAAAGAGTAGAAAGAATTTTATAGATTAAATTTTATTAATTTTTAATGGCGGAAGTTTAACCCCAGAAAGATAATTTTCAAATATTGTAATTAGTAGGTCCAGGGAACGCTTGCCTATTAGTGTGCCTTTACTTGTTATATTACAATGTTAATTAATTCGTCTAGTTGATTAAGATATGTCAAAGAATATTGTGTATATTTATTTTCATTATTCAACTTTACAATCTATTTTAAGAAGCTTCCTTAGGATTAGAGAAACCTTTAGGCCCGAGTAGTTAAATATTTGTATTTCGTAGGTATTAGAAAATTAATTAGGAACATCATCTCATGTTTCCCACTACTCAAAATTTGAAACGATACGTGTACACGTGTTTACCTCGAACGAGCAACCGGGCGGTGTCGTCTGATAGTTTGTTAAGACTGTTGTTTCTTCAAAATCTAATAACGAATTTATTGTACCCTTCATAAATTTATAAGGTTTATCTTGGACATTGGATAGGTACTTAAATTATTACTTAGTCATATATTTGGATATGAGGCTAATGTAAAGATAGTCTACTTACAATAGTCAATTTAGCCAGTGCCTAAACTTAAAATGGAAAACTTAAACGGTAGGTCGTTCATTCTTTATTATTTAACGTGTGTCCCGTCATAGTTCCTTGATTCTATCTCACTACAATAAACATGAAGCTATAGATTCTGTTACGAAGTTACATTTCTTTAAGTTAGAAACGACATCTATCTATAAAACGTATTTGATTGAATTTGATTTAAATATAAATGCTATATCATCAATTGGTGCTAAATTAAACTTAAGAATTGTCACATATAATGTGGCAGTGTAATTAATGATGTCCCTAAACAAAACGTTGTTTGTTGATATTGTTATTTTGAAAAATGTCTATATGTATATGCGCCCCGTTTCGTCTCATAGCGCTACTTTTGACGGAACGGGGCCGCTCTATGAAGTTAGATTGAAAATATAAAATACATAATATTTTATTTACAAAGATAATATTTATTTTCAAATTGTTAACAGACATTATATAGAATTACCTATTATGAACACGTTCACGATTCATATACCTACTATAGATTTATCTTGAGCCAATAAAATAGAAATATTTATGCTTCTTACAGATTATTCAATTATATCTCTAATATTAAAAGTGTACGAATATAGTGAAGAATATTATATTTATTTATGCTATGATAGTCACAGATGTTTTTCCTTTTTCTCTTCGTAAAGCTAAGGTATATTGTATAGCTGAAATAGCGAAGTGTTATATTTAATCTTCATTAGGTTATTGCAATTCTCTAAGTAATTTGCAGGGAACACAGTCTATTATATGTTTACACAGATTATTAACAACATTAATATGAATATAGATTATATGAAATGCACACATTCTGTCGAGAAAATCTTTTATTGTATAAGTGTGAAAATTCAAATCTTTTGAATCAGATCAGTAACATTGTTGAAATCTCAGTAATTGAACGTTTCATTAGCGAACCGAACGAGGCGGATTTAGGGCATAGGCGTATACATAATATTATATATTTATTTACACTTTAATAATTCATATAACGTTTATGTATCAGACGAGTTAATATAAATGATTATTACTCATAGACCCTAGCCAAATGTTATTTCATATTTTGTTCGTTACTTGCACATAGACAATAGAAAGGCAAAATGTATTTAGACGAGTTTAGAATTGAGAGTTACACTAATAGCATTATTTGTTATCGAAACAAAATACAGTCGTATACAATAATATGTTAATTACTATTTTTAGAATCTTTAAAGAAAAATAAAAGTTACATCAAAACAGATTAAGAAATTTTTACTGTTATTTTTCGAGTATTGTTTTCGTTGCTATTTATTGAAAACCTTTTATTTATATAAATGTTATCTCTTGTTCTATTTGCTATGTTCTGTTTAATTTTCATAGTTTATTTTCTGCATCGTGTTTTTCAGTGTTATAAACTCTATGTATTTATTATAAGAGAAATGTTTCCTTCGCAATATGTATCAGGAAACCGTATGGATTTTCAATTCGGTTCAAGATTTAAAAAATTGAGTTAAGAGTGAATTAGAATAACTACGATATCTAAATTTTTGTGTTAAACGTGTTACTTTCGCGTGACTTCAAATATCTACTGGTGATATTTTCAACGACATCGTGTAACAAAATCCATTATTTTTGTTAATTATTATAATAGTAGCAAAGTAACAACACGGGTTATTAATAAAGATTAAATTAAGTATGTAAGTTATTTATACTTTAGTAGATGTAATTGTGTTGTTTATAAAGGAGTGAATTTTCTATGTGAAAGCAAGTAGTCACGAAGAGGGGACTGATCAGGTAGGTCCAAGCGATACCTTCTCTCACGTTCAGTAGATGTTGTGGTTAGAGCTAGGTTTATGTTGTACATTGCTTTCAACGTTGCTCAAATTTTGCTCTGTACGAGATCGAAGTATTTTTGTTTCAGTACAAACCGTTGCTTGTAATTTATTTAAATCATTTTCGTTACTTTTTCTGTTTCAATTCTCGCACCGATGGCAATGAGGCTATAGGTTGTAAACGACATTTTTATCTCATTAACTAAAATGGCAGTTTTTCTCTCCTAACTATGGCCCACCATTTGTAATCCTTATATAACTAACTGTAATTACAAGACTTGCCGAAATAGTTCCAAATGCAAAACTTGAGTCCTATTTTTTATTAATCATAGTGAAAATTTTACTTTTTGTTAAATAATTTTCTAATTTATTGTAACGTAGAAACTTAATTATTTTATGTCTACACTTCTGTACTATTAGAAACTGTTCTAAAGTTAGTTTAAAATTATCGTACGACTGGAGATATTCGTCGTATCCATTTATTCTTCATTTGATTTCTATCTAGTTTGGTTTAGATATATATTATATTCGAGTTATGAACGGGCGAGTTTGTACTTAAGTAGTTATAATTTACATTTATAAAATGATAAATGTGGACCTTGGTGCTATTCTATCGTGATCTTTCGCTTACAACAAGGATACGACAAACTCGTCCAAGTTTAATCATTTTTTTGTTTTATCATGGTGTAATTAATTACTCATTGAACAAATAAAATTAATATATTTTATGTTGGTTTTTTATTTTACCTTTTGCACAGCAGTCGTTAGCTACTCGTAGAAATGCAGTTTTTGGTTTATCATAGTAAGATGTAAGAGTTTATAATTTTTGTATGAAAAGTATACTTTACATACATTTTTACTTATCAGCGTTCTAATCTTTCAGGTCGCGGCACCCCTGACTTTGACGGTAAAGATATCAGGTATGCGCCGTCGCCATCGCACGATGGACAGGGCAAACGTAGCAATCTGGCAGCACAATCAGCTTCCACATCGAACGAGTATCAAAATGATTCCATTAATAATAACACGTTGCAATCTGGCAACCAGGGGCAAAGGCCAGCCGTCAGGAGAAGGATACGCCGAAGAGCTAACTCTGCCTCCAACGACCCGGCCGAACAACTCACAGAGATGTCCGTTCGAGGCCTCAATCTGTTCAGATACGCCTCAGTGAACGAGGGGGTGTATCAGTGCACGGAGTGCGC